AGGAGGAGAGGGGATTGTAGTGTGGTCACTCCTCCTGGGGGTGACTTTTCATTTTCCCTCTTTCTGGTGAGAATACATACCCTGTGTGTGTGGGGAGGGAATATATATGTGTACATATAAGAAAAGCTAATCTTTTCTTATTTGACTGTAAATGTCATTATTTCCCAGATTTGGCATGCATTTGGTTTGTTTTGGGGATCAGTGGAATGGGAAGATGAGGTGTGAGGAGGAGAGACTGCAATGTGCATATGACTTTTTCAAGTCTATGCCAACCCATGGTAGCCTGTGATCCCTGTGATGAAATCATAGGAATGATTAGAACATGGGGTTTAGTGCTGGTATTATGAAATTGCTGCTAGGGACCAACTTTTTGTTTTGTACTACAAGAAATTGAAATGCAGAGAACTAGAGTGATATGCATTTGGTCATGTAGCTAGTTAGCAACTGAGCTGGAAGTGGAACTTGTGTTTCTTGATTTCTAGCCAATAACTCTATTCAATGTATCTTCTATGCAGATGTGATAGATCTCCATGAGATAAAAACCAGTAGAATTTTGGTGATGAACAATAGCTAGGCTACTAGTGCTAGCTTCTTCCAACTCATAAGTGGTAAAGAGAAAGCATAATTAAGCATTTAAGAATAATTTTTTTCTAAGTCTCTGTGAAATCATCTTTGAAAGCACCTTTGAGAATACGAGACAGATATTTCACTTGTGACTCTTCTGATTGAATAGGGGTGTTAATATCTGTAACTCTTCCTCTAGTAAATTGTAATGAAATAAGAAATAGTTCTTGCATTTTATTTTTTATTGGGTTGTCAGAAAAGTCATGATGCAATTTTTGCATAGAAAAACATAGAAAAATACATCATGACTTTCCCAATGCCCTAATAGTTTGATGAACAATGGTTTTTGGGAGTCTTGGGTTCAGTTCTTTATAACCTAAAATGGATTCACCCTTCTGTCTTCCATGAATCAGACAAGGAGACACAGAGCATTCAATGATTTGGGGTGAAAACGTGATACCAAAGTATTATAGTGTCACTAAGCTAGCTTCTTGCTTGGATATCTCTCAGGGACTTAATGGAAGCCTACAGGAGATAAGTCATTAAAAATGTAGATACTTTTATAACGGGAATGGATGGAGCTTTAGTTTGGAAGTTTACTCCCCTAATACATTGCTTATTCCTCTACTCTAGCATTTTTAAAGGGTTCCCTGGCATTGCAGTGAGTTACAAATTTGTGTTCTCTACACTAAGAATGTAAGCTGCCTAACATCATCCGTTATTACGAAGTCTTTGTATTTTCAATGAGCATTTAATCACTGTGGAAATGCATATGACATGAGATTCTATAATCTTTTGCTGTACCCTGGGATAACTATGTCAGTGAAATTTCTGGAGAGAATCAAATTAAATATAATTTAATACATTTATAGCAATAGTAGTACTGCTACTACTCCAACACAACTGCTGCTAGGATGAATGGGGTAGTCCCGTAGCATCACAGTGTCTATGGGACAAGGTCATTATCATCTGCATTTTACAAATGAGAACAAAAAAATTTTTTTTTCTTTTTTTGGAGAGGTTTTTGCTATAGGGTGCGTGCGCTCGTCAGACAGACAGAGAGAGAGACATAGAGACAGAAAGTGAGAAATCACCCCCAAGGGGGGATGGCCACGCCGCAATCCCTTCTCCTCCATTCTCCTCTCGGGATCACACACACGCGCCCAGCGTGAGTTTTAAGCCACCGGGTCCAGGACGTGAACTGCAGTCGACTACGTGGGAGTCCAGCAACATAGCCATTACGCTAACTGCTGGTCCCAGAACAAAAAATATTTTTGTGGTTAAGAGATTTGGCTAAGGTCATGTAGCTAGCAGATAACTCTTGAGTTCATTGTTTATTCAAAATAGAGAGCATGCAAACATGCGAGAGAGAGAAAAACCCTCCCTAGGGTTTTGTCACTCTGTAATGTTCTTCCCGTAGCCCTCTAACTCATCAGGACCTTGGTATGTTTCAGGTAGCCTGATGGGGATCAGAACTTACAGTCAGGGGCCAGCAGATGGTGTGGTGATTAAGGTACTAGACTCCACATGGCCAACCACAGTTCAATTCCCAGACCCAGTGGCTTGAAATGCACACAGGTATGCCCACAATCCCAGGAGGAAAAGGAATTATGGTGTGGTTATTCCCACAGGTAGGTGATTTCTCACATTGCCTCTGGCTAGTGCACACACCATATGGCAAACACCTAAAAAAAAAAAAAAAATTGCGGGAACCAGTAGTTGGTGTAATGGCTATGTCGCTGGACTCCCACGTAGTCGACCGCAGTTCGCATCCTGGACCCAGTGGCTTAAAACTCACGCCGGGCACGTGTGCGTGTGTGCCCAGGATCCCTAGAGGAGAATGGAGGAGAAGGGATTGTGATGTGACCATCCCCCCTGGGGGGTGATTTCTCGCTTTCTGTCTCTATGTCTCTCTCTGTCTGGTGAGCGCAGGTGCCCTATAGTAAAAACCTCCCCCCCCAAAGAAAAAATTTGCCAGCAGCCACGTGGCTTCTACCACTGCAGTTCTGTGTGCTAAGGACTGGTGTGGAGGTGGAGCCTTGAGTTCACGTTTTGACCATTATGGTATATCTCGGTCTCTTATACACTATTGGAAGAGGGCATGAACATTAGGTACATTATTTAGAATAGTTCAATGAAAAAAAATTAGAATGTTATACACATGCCTTGCATTCCTAGCAATTAAGTTTGTTTAATTTGCTCCAGCAACATTTTTTTTTAATGATTCCTTTAAAATGAAAAAAGTGTCTTTGTTATAGGTAATCAGTTTTATAAGTCTGTGAATCCCTAGAGAAGATTATCTGTTGTACTAATGAGGATTCTTATTCAATTCTTGATTTAACTACAAGGCACTGAAGAATTATGGACACCATGACTTGTGACAAGTTATTAGGTCATATTCTAATGAATGGTCTAATGAATTAGTTAAAAGCATCCCAGGGTTGGAACTATTATAGTTTTCTACAATATCACAAGTTATACATTTTTCTTTGTGGGGAATGTTGTCTATATTATTTTGAATAATTAAGTCAATATGATTTCAACTGCTTTTAAAATCACTAAGTATTTTCATTCATATTTTAGTAAGAAATCTTAATGGTAAATTACTTTTCTTTTTCTATTTACATCATCTTTATTTTATTACACTAGGCCATTAGCTGCATGCATGTCACCATTTTTTATACTTCAATTTTCTTAAAAGCATAATTCAAAAGATGTGCTTTTATTTGTACTATATATATATACACACACACACACACGCATACAGATGCATTTAGGTTTTTGCAATAGGGTACATGAGCTTACTGGAGAGAGAAAGAGGAAGGGAAAGGGAGAAATCCACCCCGAGGGGATGGGCACGTGCCCAGCATGATTTAAGCTGCTGTGTCTGAGACTAGAATCATAGTTGGCCATGTGGGCTATAGGGTGCATGCGCTCACCAGCCAGACAGAGAGAGACAGAAAGAGAGAAATCACCCCCAGGGGGGATGGCCACACCACAATCCCTTCTCCTCCATTTTCCTCTCGGGATCTTGGGCCCACACGCACACACGCCCGGTGTGAGTTTTAAGCCACCGGGTCCAGGACGTGAACCACGGTCCATTACGTAGGAGTCCAGCAACATAGCCATTACTCTAACTGCTGGTCCCGGAATCCAACATCTTTACACTACAGGGCCAGCAGATGGTGTGGTGGTTGAGGTTAAGCCCTATGTGCAGACAGCTGGATCACACATGACCAACTATGGTTTGAATCCCAAGCCCTGGTGGCTTGAAAAATAGGCTGGGCACATGTGTATACCCAGAATCCTTTTAGGAAGGTAAATGGTTGTGGTGCTCTCTATCACACACGAACACATGTACAGTCTGATAAAGAACTTTTCATGATCTGGTAACATAATCATGTTTCCTTTTCACTTAATTTATTCACTATTTTAGTTAGCATTTTGGTGATATACTAATTTTTCTATTCTTATTTCTCTTTCCTGACAACTCTAATAGTATTTAGGAGGAATTGACTGAAAGGTGCCAATGGTATTCAGATTATGGTTAAACACAAATTTCAGAAAGTAACATGATGAATAGTGTCACTTGAACCACTTGTTATTCAATCAATTCAGCTCAGATAGAAGTTATAATACAACATGGGTGACTTTCACAATAAGGCTCAAGCGGGAGAGACCATTATCTGTCACAGTGTTTCCATGGCATTCAGGCATCTTACACTGTAAATTTTATTACTAAGATTTTCTACGTCATTATTTTCATCATAAAAATTTGATAGTAAAAACTTTCTAATGACTAGTAGGCTTGAAGGATGCAAAAACCCAGGCTTATACCACTTTGAAAATTTCTGAAAACAAATCTTATCGCCTTTTGTGTTTCACTTTCTCTTTGTTTGCTTTACATCTACTTTTAGTTATGTTTACTAGGAGAGAAATATTTTTTATCTTGTCTCTTCGAAAAATGAAAAAAAAAAAAAAATAGATTCTGTACCCAGTGATTGGCTATGGAGCACTGTTGGGATGTTTTATTAACTGTATTAGAGCATTTTTTTGTTACAGGGTACTTGCACTCACCGAATAGACAGCGAGCAAGAAATCACCCCCTGGGGGGACGGCCATACCACAATCCCTTCTCCTCCAATTTTTTCTCCGGATTTTGGGCACATATACACATAGCAAGAGTTTCAAGCCTCTGGGTCCAGGGCTTGAACCACTATGCCATCTGCTGGTCTCAAGAGGTTTTATCTTCATGACAGGATTTTTGAGCATCATACCTCTTGAAATCATGTTTTTAATTTCAAATAAAATTTAGCCAACATGAAAATGAAGTAAATACCAATATTGTTAGTGTTCAGAAACTAAAATATGTCCCAAACATTTTCCTGACAGAGAGAAGAGTCTTACCTCTCCATTTCATTTTTTTGTGGTTGCAGAACTTCAGATGGTGGCAAAGTTGTTGGTACCATAGAAGTTGGCGTCGTGAAGATGGGAGAGATTCAAGATGGAGAAGCTGACCACATCACGACAGATGTGCAGGGACAAAAGGTGGGAACTCCGTCAGCTCACTGCACAAATTAGAAATAACCAGCTTTGCTAGATGCTTACATCACCAACACCACTTTGGGGTTCAAACTCTCATTATTCAAAAGAAATCTGCTCACTATTCAATGATAAATCTACCCTGGAAGGGCAGTGCAATATGTGTGTGTCATCCTTTGACCAGACGGACTATCTGCATGGAGCTCTGCAAAGCTGGGTGTCATTTCCAAACACCTTCCTCTTCCCTGCCAGCTCCCTTGTTGACACTCACCTTTCTCATTCGGAACAAAAGTGTAGATCATTGTTGCATTCTGCTGTGATTAACCCTGTGTGGGATGCACAGATAATTCTGGGTTACATATTGCCACATGTAACCTGTTCTCATCTCCCAAAATTATCTTTACAAATAGATACTATAGGGATTTCATTTGTATGTGAAGGACGGCAGTGTAACAAGATCTATGTGCCTTATAAAATTGCAGAGAGAAGCAGGAAATACAGGGTTGTCGGAAAAGTTATGATGCAGAAAAATGTATCACGGCTTCTCCAACTCAGTAGTATATGGGATAGGAGAGTTCTGGAGGCCCAGTGCCCATCAAGATATGTCCAAAATTTTCAGTTTCTGCATCCTTTAGGAACAGCAACTCAGGACCAGCTATGTCACTGGACTCCCATGTAGTTAACCAAGGTTTGAGTACCGGATCCGGTGGCTTAAACTCACGCTGGGCACGTGCCCAAGATCCCGACAGGAAAATGGAGGAGAAGGGATTGTGGCGTGGCCATCTTCTTGGGGGGTGATTTCTCACTTTCTGTCTCTCTGGCGAGCACACACAACCCCTTCTCCTCCAAAAAAAAAGAAAAGAATTTAATGTTGATTTTCTCTTTCTTAAGAATCCAATTATTGATGAAATTGCACATGGGAAAGACTTAAAAGTTGCTAATAATTTTTCTGTTTACACACTTCAAATTCTACCTTTCCATAAATGAGAATTAAAAAAAAATAAAACCACCTTTTGAAACTCATAACTTTGTTTTTGTCTTGGGGAATGTTTGATTTTTTAGTACTTAGATAAACACTACCTCTCAGGTAAATATTTCCTAACACCTAAAATATCATTAACTATACAAAAAAAAAATCCCAAACTGCCTTTAGAACAATATTTTTCTTGCCCTAGAATAGACTAGACTCTTCCTGTTGGTCTTCTCTGTTCCCTACCCTTTCCTTGGGACATTTCTCATGCCGTGAAATATTCCAAGGATGTCCAAACTTTAACCCAAATTGCTTGCAAGTTTTGCCGTAGGTCTTTGGGTTTGTGTACTTAAGACCTTGTCTTGGGACTAAGTCTCTTCATTCCATTCTTGTTCCCTTTGGTGTCCTAAGAGGGACTCATCTCCATGTCACCAGTACCTTGATGTGTCCATCAAGATTAAAGGGGGAGGGGGGGAGTGTGAAGTCTAAGTTAAGAAACAGGGAGATGATCACGGTCTGACCTGTAGCAGAAACACTTGGCATTTAAAAGTGGAACCTCTTTCTCCAACTCTGGATTCATTCCTAGAATGAATCTCCATTCTCTTCAGAGCTTGCCTAGTCCTTTAGTATAAACCATCTCTTTTATAAGGTGGTGTAAGCTGAATTATGTTTCTCAACAAATGGAGAACTTGATACCTAGGATTATGTCCCACCAAAGTCCAACATAATGTTTCTGACTTAGTAATAACTGACATATATGAAAAGAGACAGCAACTAATGGAGATTATCCCTAAAATAACATCCTTTTTACTGGTTTGCATGAGCTGGAGAAAAAGGAATGGAACTACTATGGTCAGGGTCAGGAGCCTTGAGAGTAACACACACTGTTTCTCGTGTAAATAGAAGCAAAATGAAGAGGGATGGCTTAAACACTAGAAATATATTTTCTTACCATTCTACAAAATCCCAGATCAAGGTGTCAGACACTTTGGTTCTTGGTGAGGGCTCTTTTCCTAGCTAGTAGATGACCACCTTCTTGTTGCGTCTTCACATAGCCTGTGCACACTGGAAGACAGAGAGAAAAAGAGGTGAGATTATCTGGTAACTTCTCCTCTTCTTGTCAGATTAGCAGCCCTGTAGGCTTAGACCCACTTCTATTTTACTTTAATTACCTCCCCATCTCCAAACACAGTCATATAGGGGGTTGGAGCTTCCACACATGAATTTTTTTGGGGAAACCCAGATCAGTCTATAATGATATTATCTTATGTAAGATTGTACTTTTTAGTCTTGAATCTCACATATCTTACAGAGCATAGAATATCAATGAAAATGCAAATTATTTCCTCTCATATACATTTACTTACTTGAAGTCATGACGTTTTTCTGTGCATCATGACTTTTTCACAAACCAGTAGTATTTTTAGTATATAATTCTTATCAAGAGAACATCATTCAGAGAGTCATTTGTCGTATTAGACTGATTTGAACAGGTTCAAGACATGTTTGTACGCTACCTGAGAGTAACAGGAATTTTAGGTGGAGTGAACACCAAGAGCAAAGGCCCTGAGGTGGCAGCATGCTTGTTGAGTTGAAGGAAGGGCAAGGACTAGAGCTGAGTGGTTGAAGTTGAAGACAGAGGTTCATGGAGCAGAGAAGACAGATCCAGATGGTAACTCCCTTGTCAGGCATTTGACTCTTAGGGATTGTTGAGCATTGAAGTGATTTGCCTTGTTTTAGGAAGACCATTTTGGCTCCTGTATTGAAAATCGCCTGAATGAAGGTAAGGAAAGAAAAGAACCTGGTTCAGAGGTTATTATAAAAGTTCAAACTAGAAATGGAGATATATTTTTAATTGTCATAGGGTGTGTGCACTTGCTAGAAAGACAGAAAGAACTAGAGAAAGCATGCCCTACCATGGGCCATGGTTAGGTTACTGTCCTTTCTCCTCCATTTCTCTGTTCTGTTGAGATTTGGGATACCCAAATGTACACACTTGATATTCTTTAAGCCACTGTGCTTGGAATTTGAACTACAGGTAGCCATGTGTGAACTGGTTTCCTTAACCACTAGGCTAAGGGACCAGGCTAGGATGCAGGTAGTGTTCATGGAGAAAGTAAAATGTAGTCACACTCCAACTGCTTGCAGAGGACAGCTAAGGGAAATAATAACCGTTTGTCATGATAAAACTATCTGGTAAAAACAGGCAGAGAGGACAGAAGATACTGTGATATTAAGGTTGAAGTTCCTTTTAGACATCTAAGTACAGATTTAAGCAAGCTGTTGGAGGTTTATGTCTGGATTCAGGGACATGTTCAAGCTAGAATTATAGGTTTGAGAGTCATCAGTTGGAATATGGATAGTATCAAAAGTCCTGAGACCCCATAAGCTCAACTTTTGCAGTCTTAAAATTTATACCTAAGTGTGTTTTACCTATGATACTTACTGTTTAGAGATTATGCTTATTTAGATTATGTCTACAGACATTAATCTTCTAGAAATTAAGATTTTAAAAATGCAAAGGCATGTATTCCATCCATCATCAAATGATTGTATCAGTCTCCAGAAAATTCTTATATGCTTATAGGATAAAAGACAAATAATTTTATAATATCAGTATTAAAATAGACTTATCTTTGCTTTGTGCTAGATACCACCAAAAATACAAACAGCTTTTAGGGCCTTCCAGAAATACTGTATCAAACTTTGAGAGCTACAACTAAGAAACTCAATATACATGAAAGTACCAAATATTGGCTTTTGACAAATTCATACAGAGTCGTTTTGGGGCCCAATATATGGCAGAGTAATATGTTATTTGAAACACAAAATTACAAAGCTCCTACAGTTTTGCTTATCTTAGGTTTCTTTTCCTGAGTCACTTACCAAGAGTCTTAGGGTATTAGGTATGGCAGAAAAAGCATATAAGCATGTGATATTTATTATACTTAGAATCACAAAAATGAAGTTACTACACTGAAAGCACGTGCCACATCAGTGTGTAGGTAAACTGAAAATGAATATATGTCATTATAATACATAATAGTATGTACTGGGTTGTCAGAAAAGTTATGACATGTTATTCTGATGACCCAATAGAGTCTTCTGGTCTCCTTACTTAAGCATAGATTGTACAACATAGTTCCTTAGCATTCTCCATAGCATCTAACAGTGTGAAATGATTCTACAGTTAACTGTTAAAAAAAAAAAAAAAAGGAATGTTTGACTTCAAACTATTCCTATCTAAATAAAGAACAAAGAAGTTATACAATTTGAATTACTACAATTGAAAATAATCAACCTAGTAAATATTTATTGGATATTTTGTATTTATAAGCTATGGATCCAAATATGGAGAGCGTTTTGAGGCATAAAATCTAATACTATTAAGTAGACATTGTGCTAAATACCTACCTTCTAGTTTAGATGAAAGATGAGTGTAATTTCTGTGTACATTTAGTAAAATTTTAGTAAAATAATAAAAACTTCCTGTTAAGACACTGGATTCCCACATGGGTGACCGTGGGTCCAGTCCCTAAACCCATGGCTTGAAAATCACACAGGGGGCATCTATTGTTGTTTAAAATCCCAGGATGAGAAGGGATTGTAGTGTGGCCATCTCCCCTAGAAGGGGTGATTTCTCACTTTTCTATCTCAGGCAAATATACACACCCTCTGGCAATACACTAAAACAAACAAACAAAAAATACACAAAGCTATCTTTGATGACAAGGAGGCAGCACTACCTCCATGTAGGAGAGCAGTGTCTCAGAATAAATGGCTTGATCTAACTGAATCATGGACTTCTTTACTAAACAGGTTTAATCTCAACCATTCCTGTAAGTTATATTCTAGTTGATGATGGCTCATAGCTAGGTACCTAGTCATTATGTGGAAGGGTGTCAAGGACAAATCATGAAAAGATTTGCAGAGTACACTAAGAGAGTACTGGATTTGATTGGTCAATAAATAGTTGTTACACATACGGGAGCAGAAAATGATACATACTGTTTACAAAGATTATTTTAACAGCACCATATAGGTGGAAAGAATAGAGGAAATATTAGAAATAGAGAAAATAAAGAATGTTAAGTATCACAGCACATTGCCCTAGTGATTTGGAAAGTGCATTTGAAAGCTAGCTGTGGATTTTGAAAACAGGAGCACCTCTGGCTTCCGGTTGGTCATAAAAATGCTTTAGAGAGCATTATATTTCAGAAATTGTAGTCATTTATTCTTTCAGTAAGCTAAGACCTCAATAAACAAATGGTAGAAGTACATTTCCCCTAACAAATTCACTGAGTCATGTGATGAATGTTATGATAGGGCAATACATAGAAGAAGACCATAATACAGAAAGTTGAATTAGTGTTTTGAATTATTTGTCTTCCTCAAATAATTCATTATATTTAAAAAATATATACATTCCATCATCATCAGTGATTGCAGTGTTCCTGATGAACAGAGGGCCTGGTATCTGGGGGAAGGAAGGTGGAGAGCAACGTAAGAGATGGGAAATAGCCCAAGTAATTCTGGAGCAGCCTCCAGTGGTCTGACCCCTTGGAACCTCTTGACCAGAGTCATGCGGGACCTCCAGGGGGGTGGCCAGTTCCTTGGAACTTTTCACCCAAAGGACCTTCTGGGTTTTTGTTTGCTTTGCTTGCGTGGTGTATTTGGTGTATTTACATCTGGTGTATTTGCTCTGAAAATTCACTCTCCAGTTTGCTCTGCCCACTACCTTCTTCCCTACCTGCTCCCTTATTCTGGTGAGGGATAACATGAAACTCATTTGAAGAAGTAAATGTCTACCTTTTGGGCTGAGGAGAGTTTTGTTTCCTCTGTTAGTGACAGTACCGGGCTCAATGATGGATTGTCTACAGTGTTCCCTCCCATCATGGTTCATTCACTAGGAAGATGCACATGTGCTCCTCTGGGTCTCTTCTTTCTGTTCAGAGCAGTGTCACTTCTGTAAAGATTATGAGGTTAATCTATTAATCATGGGTCCCAGAGATCTGTTGTTTTATTAACAGGCCTCGTACTTTATGTAGGTCGTAAGAAAAGTCATGATGCATTTTTATACTGAAAACCATGTCATTACTTCCCTGAAAATATTCTCCAATATTTTCCTGGAGACAAAAACATCCCTATACTCTATGTATGTATTTAGCAGCCTCAACACATTTTATATTGTAAAGTTGACTTTGCTTAAAATCTAGAAAATAATTTTCTATTATAATTGAAAAATTCAAAACAGGGGCCACAAGGTGGTGTGGTGGTTAAGGTGCTAGAATCCCACAGGGCCGACCACAGTTTGAGTCCCAGTCCCGGTGGCATGTGTGTTCCTTTCTCCCTCTGGCAGGTGCACATGCCCTATGGCAAAAACCTTACAGAAAAATAAATGCAAAACAATTCAGCTTACCAAAGATCATTTACTACCCTAGGAATCTCTCTCTAGCATGTTGGAGATAGTCTTTTTTCCCCTCTTCCCTGACTAGTTTCAACTAAAACTGAAACCTACAGTTACTTAAGCATATTCTATATCACTGTAATTAATTAATCTCAAGATAAGCTTCATAAAGAGGTTGATAATGTTTTGTTGAAAAAAATGTTCAAACCATGTATATTGCCTCATGTTTTGTAAAAAAAAAAATTTCATTTCTCATTTTGGTTGTTTTCAAATGTGTTTCATTTAATTTTTTTTTCTAGTGTGCACTGGTATGTGAATGTACAGCCCCAGAAAGTGTGAGCGGAAAAGATAACTTCCCTTTTTTGAATGCAGGTATGTAACCTAGTTTTGGATACTTTGTACTTGTCTCATATGAACGTACATTTTAATTTCCCAACACTGAGCCTGAGCAGCATTCTCTTAGCCTTTTGTGAGAGCTTAGTAAATGAGCTGGGAGAATGGGGGGCAAATCATATAATTCTTTAGAAAGATACAGGAGTGCCTTAGTAATAAGGCAAGACAAACCATTCTGTTTTAGCTCCCGAATTGTATATTTGAAACAAACACCAGAATACAGGCTCAGTGATAGGAAGGTAAAGCTCTCATGTAGTTCGACTTCTTCCCAATTATACAGCTCATGAAAGCAGTAGACACAGGGATTCAGTAAAAGAAATTCATTATGACATTTGTACATTTCTTGGTGTATAGGTGTGTACTGTGTTCATAATTTGTAATTTATATCTAGGCACTCAACAATATATTAAATGTTTATATGAATAAAATGGAGACTTCCAGTTAAAACATACATGATGAGCAGGTACATAATTTTTGCATATTGATATAGATGTAAATGAATATAAGATAAATTTATAATAATGACTACTATACTGATTAGCTGAGGCAATCCATATTAGGGATTTTGCCTATCTTCTGACATGTGCAAAGAGAAAGGTACTGTCATTATCTGAATTTTACAGAAGAGGAAAAGTGAGGGTCACCTACCTGATGAACAGTGGATACACAATTTTAACCCAGTTTTTATTCTAAGGCCATGCTTTGCCTTTGCTTTTAAGTACTCGCAGGTTGTTCTACTAAGAAGGTGTTAATGCACAGGTTGGTGTAATAGTAAAATGCCTCACATTTTGTCTAGCTCTGTCATTTTGCACATTTAAGCAGTGGTGGAGACAGTGTGACAATGGGGCTAATGAATGTACAGAGCTTCAAAAACTTACTAATAAGCCTTAAATTATTAGCCATTTTTCCCTGTAGGAAGCAGCTAATAACACAATGGAGAAGGGAAGGCACCCCTTTGTCTGTATTTATACACACAGAGAAATCAAATATAATTCAATTGAGAAATGTGGGAGAAAAAACCCTCAACTCTGCTTATACAAAATAAGAGATTATATAGAGAAGAACAGCTGCTTCTCAACTTATGACCAAATAATACGGGTATCTATCACTGTTACCTGGTTTTATATCAGAAGATATGTGCATTAAACAGTGTTAAAGCTAGGTCAGCCATCTACATACAAATAACTGAAAACATACAGTAGGGTTAAAATATTTGATCAAAGTGCCCTCCTCACATGTCTGTTTTCAACTGGAAGTTGACTAAGTCTTTAGTACTTTATCCAGATAATTTATTTCATTTACTGAACATCAATTTTGAAGAATAAATTTAAGTATGATAGATCATTTAAAAAAACAGATTATCACCAAAATTACTGATGCTGTAATTATAATTTTGAATGATTTATTTATAACTTTATACACACAAATATACACCATTTTAAGGTACTAAATAGTTAAGTATAGATTTCAAAGAGAAATAGAGAAATTACTAAGTCAGAAAATATATAAGCAATAATAAGAACATATTGAAAAACAAATCTTTGCCTCCAAACACCTATGCCATAATATCTGTGAGACCTGAGTCTTGTACAAGTCCCAGATAACCATGGTGCTGCTTGTTAAGTGTGAATTGTAATAAGGCAAAGACAACGGACTTGGATGGGAGCAGCTGCATTTGGCAATTTAAATATGCTTGCTTAGTGGAGTGAGAGAGGATTGATTATTGTTTTTCACCTTTCATGGGAGTGACTGTTCTGGTGGTGATGCTCCACTTAAGAGAGAGTTTTGCTAAAGGGCACATGTGCTTGCTGGAGAGACAAAAAGTGAGAAATCACACCCCACAATCCCTTTTCCTTGCAGGATTTTGGGTACACACTCCCATGTGCCTGACATGAGTTTTAAAACACCAGGTCTGGGACTTGAACCACAATGGACTACCTGGGAATCCAACGACATAACTATTATGCCATCTGCTGGTCCCCTGAAGAAATTTTTAAATGTTCTTAATCCAGGCAACTCTAAAGATCACTCTGAACCTAGGGTCTTTGCCATAATTTTTTCTTTCCTTTCCTTTTTTTTTTTTTTTTTTTTTTTTTTTTAACCAGAAAAGGATGAAGTAAGAGAGAAAGAAAGCAAGCCACCAGGTCCAGGACTCAAACCGTGGTCAACCATGTGGGAGTCCAGCGCCCTTAACCACCATGCTGCCTGCTGGCCCCATATTTTATTTTTTATTATTATTATTCTTTAATTTGACCAGGGGGAGGGAAATTGAGACAGCAAGCCACCAGGTCTGAGACGCGACTGCAGTCAGCCATGGCAGAGTCCAGTGCCCTTAACTACCATGCCACCTGCTGGCCCCAACCATAAAACATTTTTTTAAGTCACCTTATGCTAGGATAAGACTGAAGGATAAAGTCAAATGTTGCAAAGGTCAGATGTTTAAAAATTTTTCAAAATGCAACTGAGTACTGTATATAAAAATGTATTGTGCTGCTATAGAATATGTATGACTGTGGCCTTGTGTGTACCTCTGCCTTTTGTTTTATTTATCTATCTAAACTCAGCAACTTTGGAATTAATCCATTATATTCTCATGTGGTATTTTCAAAAAAAAAATCAGCAAGCAAAGGGAGCTATTGACATTCTTCACAAGTCTTTGCGTTAATGTATTATATGGAACTTGCCAGTCTCCGGTGAGTTATGAAGCACTTATTGAGTGAGTGGAAGAAAATGTCATATCTCATAGCAACTCTTCACTATTCTATTTATATCTCTAGAGGTTTCATTTATAATTCTAGAAAAATTCACTCATCTATTATAAGACCAAAAAGAAAAGAAAAAAAAATACTTCCCTTCTTAGGCCTCACCCTTCCCAGGGCCTATTTGCCTTGCATGTTGGAGAGTCCAGGGAATTGAAGGTAGAAGGAGATAAAGGAGAAGGATGGTGGGAACTGATAGGACATTCCATGGTAAAGATACCAAGCACAAGACGCTAGAAGACAGAGTAAATACTAGGTATGTGAAGCTGTTGTGCAGTTTGACTTAATATAACTTATAAATTAAGGTTGTTGGGGCTGTCAGGAGTAGGCAAGTGAGTTTGACTGTAGAAAGGTGTATGGGGTCAGATATCCCACATGGTCATGGAATTGGGGGTTTCTGCTGAGTCACATCAACAGAGGCACTTTGTCTGCAGCTGAACAATGATAAATGGGCCCTGGTGGTGGTAATACAAGAGCACTGTACAGGTTGTCAGAAAAATCAGTGTCAAAACCTAGATTTGCTAACCAGTGGTATGATGCCAACCAATAATTAGCATTATTACATGACCAAATATGGCCCAGTTGCAGTGGTGCACACTGGCAGAAGCTACAACCCCACCAGACCATGCCTCATGGGAGGCCCCAGTTCAATTCCTAGTCCAATCTAAAAATTGAGCAGGGTGGGGAGAACCTATCTTTTCTCCATATTACCCATCAGATTTACACTTGTGTTTATAACTCTCTCAGCAACTCCGGAGACTGAGGTTCAAGGATTGTGCTATAGAAAGACCCTGTCAAATTAATCTAGACAGTCTGAGTCTGACTTCCTTTTGACCCCTAAAGGTTTGAAATTAGTGTAGACTAGAATTGCTATTTAAAAAATCTCATAAAAGTATGTATTTTAATCAGTTTCACATAGAGTTGCATACAAATCTTTTGTCCTTTACAGTTGCCACCCTCCTCAGGATTTACCATTTTTCGTTAAAAAGGCTGACCAGAGATATAACTGTTTAAATTTTTGTTCAGAAGACAGCCCTCTCTAGATTTCTTAATTTGACCAATTATCTTTTTATACACTTATAATCCTGCAAAATGCTTCAGCTCATGGACCCTTACATTATACCATGACAAATTTGAGGAGCTAATAGACCCTATCACCTAATAGGCCCTGTCACCAAGTTTCCTATTATCACCCCATTTTGAGTGAATTTCCCTGTCAGCAAGTATTGAATCTGTCACGGTATCCTCTTTGGTTGAATTTCATACTTTTTGAGTCATAAAATCGTCCTTAATATTCTTTAAAGACCACTTTCATGCTCTCTACTAATGTATATACTATTCTTCATACTCAAAGGGTATGTCTGACAGCAATGATCTCCACACTGTGTTAAATGTAATCTAAACGGAGATGAGAGGAGGGTACTGTCAGTTGTGGAGACATGGTGTTTGTTTGCCTTCTTCTTTGGAAAACTACTGGTGTTTGTACTTCTTGATTCATAGATAAGTCATCTTTTCTTAAAATAGGCTGCCATGTCTTTGATTTCTTTTCCCCCAAATAGGTTTAAACTATCTATTACTGTGGCTTTGTAGAAGATGCTTGATTGTAAGCTACTTAAGAGGAAGGAATATTCTCTTTTTTCCTCTATCTATTTACAGTATACCTTATTTAATTTAAATAAGCACCAGCCCTTAAATCTTACCTACTGAGTTCCACATTGTTTAGCAAGCACCTTTTCCCATTGCTCTAATAAGAATTCCGATCATTTAGAACTTGGTTAATAACCTATTGGTAAAATAACGTTTTTGTTTATTATGAAAGAATAAAAGTTTTCAGCTCTGCTAAATGTGCTCCTGACATCTCAAAAGAACAAGACAACATAGCCAGTTCCCCCATGTAGATAAAGATGATTCCTAGGCCTACATATATGCACACACACATACATATATAGAAAAAAAAAAAAAAAACAACTGAGGCTTTACCTTTTAGTCTCATGGAAAATAAGCTGCCTAAACAGAGGGGCTTGGAATGTGGATATGGATACAATCTACTCCTTGACATTGTCTTAAGAGGAACAACTTGCAGTGAGGGTGATGGTCCTCAGCCAGTGTAGCCTCATTCGGGTAATATACAACATCAGCACATGCCTGGATGTAGGAAGTGCTAGAGCATCCAGGAACTCAGGAGGCCTGAGAGCAGCTGCAGAGATGGCACAGAGGGGT